GTAATTAATATGGGAACTAAAATATTTAATTGCCTTCCCCTTGAATTGAAAAGCGTTCAAAATTTTAATGTTTTTAAGAGGACACTAAAAGATTATTTGTTGTGCTAATGTTGGATTGATGACTAGCTTGTTGAGTTTCTTTTGGTTTGCAAGTTTTAATATCGTGTTTACGTGTTTTATATTACTAACATTTTTCTTTTGTTCTTCTGTTGTTCTTATTATTATGTTCCTTATAACGGTTGCTATGTTATAGTGATAAATTACTGTGTAAATTTTATGTGACTTTGATGTGTGATGTATTCGTTATTTCATGACATGTCCAATTGTATTCACTTCAGTTATGGATGAAAATAAAGTTGAAAGTTAAAGGTAAAATTAAAGTTGATACTGTGCTTAATTAACAACCACACTTGACACTTTTTTTCTTCAGGTATATTATGTCATCATCATCAAGTTTGTAAAAAGGATTGATATGGGGACCACTGTTCACAACACTGAAACTCATGGCAAACGAATTCAGGAGTTACTGGTGCAGTTTTTTGTTATTCTTCTATAGTTTTCTGAAGAAAATGATAAAAGGACAGAAAACATGTAGATTCATGCAAATATTTTGAGGTCTAACATGATAATTATACTTCAGTTAAATAAAATTTACTGAAATGTTTTGAGTTAGGGAATGCTAGCTTCAGTGTTTTGCATTAAATGTTGCTGGAAACATTTCTGGAAATTGTTTTCCGAAAATCTTTTTAATGCTGTCATCACAATATTCTGAATGTCTTCCAGGGAATCAAATTCGTATTTTTTCGTGGATTTGATCAGATAGGAAACATTTGTAGGAAAACGTGTATTAGAGTCTAATAGAAATGAGTGTTTAATTTTTTCCAGTTATTTATTTGTCAGGCCTCATGTAAGGGAAAATAAGTACCCTTCCCACCCATTCTAATTCAACTCAGTACAAGACAAATTGTGACTTTTCAGCTAAGTAAATATTATAATGTAACAGAAATACACACACAAAGAGGTCCGTTTTGTTTTCAAAATCAGCTTGAAATTTGTTAAGACTATAATTTGATAACTGACATTGCAGTATAAAACAGATCTGCTACTAAACACACAGCCCATTTCATAGGTGAGCATGGCAGTTACATGTGTAGAGCTTCTTTGCAGTGAATGTTTAATTATATTTTGTTCATGTTGTGATACTCATTAGACCGCCTTTGAGGTCTAGTGGTCAAGAGTTCCTGGCTACAGATCCCAAGGTCCCAGGTTCTGTTCCCAGCGCTACCAGATTTTTTGAGAAGTAGTGGGTCTGGAATGGGGTCCGCTCATCATTGTGAGGATAATTGAGGAGCTGCTTCAAGGAAATAGCAGCTCAAATCAAGAAAACCAATATTAACGGCCATGGGGATCCATTGCGGTGACCAAGCGACATCATCTATCCACAAAAGTTGGCACTAACTTTGCCGACAAGTGGCGGTTGCTCAGTCGGTGTAGTTTGCTTGCAGACTACAGGCCATGGAGTTTTCTTTTAGTTTGAGATACTCATTATTCAACATATGTGATAATGGCCCATTCTTGAAAAGAAATAGTAGAGCAGAGCTTCATATGAAGTATTGGATGAATGAAGGCCAAAATAAAATTTTTATGATAGTTTTTAGTATTGATTTTTCAGTAATAGACTACATTGAAATCTGTTGTGTATGGTATTTTTTTAGGTAAAACCGTTGCACAGAAATAACCTGCTCTTAGTTTTGAGTACTTCATACAAGAAGACATAACCATAACATAAATTAAAATTTATGATCATGAGGTAAGAAATCATGAAGCTTTGGAAAGAAAGAGGTGGATTATCATGAAAGGACTGTGTGCAATGAACTCTATAACAGGAAGCAGCAATGATATGGGTTTTCGGAATATTCTGTTTTAGAAACTGTGAGATTGTGCTGTAGAATGAAGCATATATTTTACTTTGCAGGAGACGTATGTTGACCGACCTCGTGTGGAACTACGGTATGATCTTCAAGACACCCATGTGGCTATCTGCTCTGCTGCTGTGCCACCACTGTTTTCTGACAACTTTGACTTTCAGACAAGGGATGATTTTGTTCGTGGGTTGTTAATGAATGAAGAAATTCTTGCCAGTACCATTTACTGGTATAGATTAGACGGTGCCCAGTATAGTGCGCATGTTTCTAACTGGCAGATGTATCAGGCTGTCAGGTGTGATGACATTTCATATGTTAAATTTATCAATATTGTTATCAGTTGATGTGTTATTGATATGGGATTATTCTGACAGATTTAGAATATCTTTTTAGAGCATGCTGTGGAAATATATAGAACAAGATAGGTACCAGTATTTTAAGGAACCTTTTTCCTCCATCATCAGGGTAAAAGGGAGGCAGTTTGTTCCACTGGCATGTTGGTGCTCATCTACCAAATTATACATCATTACATTCCAGAAGACCATAATCTTGGCAGTCAGGGTTTGATTATCTTCCTCTTCAAGATAAGAGATGTGTAATTTGCAAATTTCTGATACCGAATCATTTGGATGATGCCAACAACCATCTAGTCCCATGTAGTTGATTTTGTTAAAGCAGAGTCATTTTTAAGAAGCTGATCGTCAGTTACCTGTTCATGAAATTCTCCACCTTTATGGAATCTGAAGGCTCTTTACCATGTACATGAGGACCTGCTCTCAAGCACTATCCAGAACCAGTTGAATCCAGTCCACATCTTCACTTCATATTTTTAAGGCCCATTTTAATATACTTGCATTTACATGTATGTCTCTGTGTGGTTTGTTCTCCTCAAGTTCTCCTACTAAAATGTTGTATGAATTTCTTATCTCCCCCATTGCATATACACATCTACCATGTGATTAAACAGTTTTCTAAGTTACATAGCTTGTCTTATGAGCAAATATTGAAATGCTTGAAGAAATATTTGAAAATGAGGCAGAGTAGATTAAATTGTTATTCTTAAACATCTTTGAAGTAAGAATGAAAAGGGAACTGGTATACCAGTGCACATTATTTTGTTTATTTCATTGATATGTTAAATTATTACCGGCAGTTGGTATTTGTAAATGAAAACTTATGCTCGTTATGGTCTCCACATAACACTTTTCTGTTAACAATAAATGTCTTGCAGAAGCTCAACTTCCGCTACTCATTTGGAAATTTTGAATGCAGAAACTTATCCCTTTACTAAAGTAGGTTTTTGTTCATGATTTCCTTTATAAATTGATCCAGGTTATTATAAGCAGCTTTGTGCCAATTTTTTTTATGTACGAATTATGTAATAAAAATTCTGTTTCAGTCGTGATATTATATATCGCTGGGTTTATCCATTTGTTCCTGATTCACCTTTTCTCTGGGATGTGGAACCTTACATGTTTCTACGGCACAATGTTTACAAACAGAAATCAGTCACGCTTGGAAAGTAAGTATGTGTTGCACACAAACAGATTGCTTTGAAAGTAAAAATAATGATCTAATTAATTTTTTAATTAAAACTGAACTGCTAATACTTAAATTAAGGTCATATCCAATGCATGTTTTATTATAAATCATGTAAGGAAACAAGTGATCAGTATGAAGAAGTGATCACAAGACTATGATCATGTTGATAATGAAATAATAGAAACCATCAAATGTTTAACACGAAGTAGTTGGAAACTTTTCATATTGGATAAAATATGCCTTACATATTTGAGCCATATAGGGCCATCAGTTGAGGCTTCTGTGTCACAGAGGAGATGGCTTAGTATAGGTAATTTCTAGCAGTAATATTTACATTTAAATTGCTTTATAATTGAAAATGTAGAGCATTCTCACATATGTATAAATTGCTGACGGACTGCATTATATTCTGACTTCTGTTGGTGTTGTTCTTTTCTATGTAGATTTTGTNTTTGGGTAGGGAGGGGTTCTCCGTTGCGCAACATGTTACAATATTCTGACTTCTGTTGGTGTTGTTCTTTTCTATGTAGATTTTGTGCAGAACGTGATTGATATAGTATTGCCTCAGTGTCTGTGAAGATACTCGTAGCATGGTAAGGTAAAGTTTTCCCTGTGCTTAACTAATTAAGGACTATGCCATGAAGGCGTACGGGGGAGTGGATGTACAGATCCACATTTTCTTGACCTTGGTACCAGTTGGAGGTGAGTGGTCAGCTTCACACCGCAGCTGCTTTACTCCTGGGGAAAGAGCCCAGGTACCCATTGGATAGGAGGCTGGGTGGGCCTCAAAGGCCGATCTGGACGACATAGAGAAGAGAAAATTTTTGACCCTACTGGGACTCNAGTCATCTTCACGCCCCAGCTGCTTTACTCCTGCGGAAGGAGCCCAGGTACCCATTGGATAGGAGGCTGTGTGGGCCTCAGAGCCCAACCTGGATGATGTGGAGAAGAGAAAATTCTTGACCCTACTGGGACTCGAACTCCCACCCCTTGGTCGTCCAGCCTGTAGCCACTCACTATAATGACTACGCAAGATATAATGGTGTAATAGTTATTTTTTTTTAACCTGTATGGGGAGGGTGTTATCAAATTTTTAATTATGAGTTCCATATCTGTCTGTACCGTGTATGGTGTGTGATGTGCCATGCTGGTAATGCTGGTGATGCTGGTGTTTGGGTGGTACTGGCAGTCAGATGTATGGTTCTTGATATTTGATTAGGTGCATGTGTATTATCTTGTGTGAATAATACATTGAATAGAATGTTCTTTTTGTCTGTGTTCATATATGAGTAGATTTAACTTTTTATTTATACATATGTAGTGTAAGAAGATAAAACAGTTCCGTCCAGTGCGACTGGTGAAGGTCCTTAGAGACCGTCATCAGAGGGACATCGATACAGTTTGGAAACCACTATTACAATAGGTGTTCTGAGTGTTAAAATATATATACATACAATGCTGACAATACACAAATGGATACAAAATTCAAAGTTTTCACAACTACAGCAGCTCTCTTGATATATTAAAATTTATTAAAATTTTGTTAGTTAAGTTAGAATTTATAAACCAAATAGGTTCATGTCCTCTCTCTTCTCACTTTTCCTGATGGGGGCAAACTTGTGTGGCCTGTCTTTCTTGAGAAGAAGGTCTTTTGATGTCGTCCTGTGGTTGTTTGTGGCGCAGTGTTGTTTTTACTTAATGTAGGAATTTCCTTTGATGTTCATTAATTGCTCTTTTTCTGTGTGTTTGCTCACATCCGTTACATTCTCCATTGTACGATACTGGTATCTCTTGTTTAGGATATGTGTTGTGAGATGTGAATGCTGATTGTTCCCTACCGTAGTTTATACTACTTATATGTTCTTTATATCTGATGTTAGTGGGCTCTTCATCATCTGTCAAGGTTATTCCTTCATGCAAATTCCTTCGTTTCTCATAGATTGCTTCCACAGTAGAATAATTGGTCAACTATTGTCACAAACCTTCAGAGAATAACAATCTTAGTCTCATGTATGTGCTCAGAATTACTGGGTTTTGATCTTATCCAGAATTTAGTATACTAAAGAGCACAACATTTCAGAAACAGATTTGATTTCCAAAATGTCACATTCTTTAGAATACAGGATGATCTGTGAAGTCCAAAAGCCTGTAATCCCGAATGTTACACACCATTATCAGAACCCTTTAGAATCTAGTTGTATATGTGGTTCATGAGAATGTTTATTCTTGTTCATTGCAGGAATTGTTTTCTGGAGGAAGATATTGTGATTGCTGAGAACACAAGTGTTGGAGAGAACTCTCACATTAGTCACTCTGTGATTGGCAAGAACTGTCATATAGGCAAGAATGTTACCATATGCAATTCATATGTATGGGATAATGTTACTGTTGGGGTAAGGCAGATGTGCTAGATGCTGCACCATTTTTTGAATCAAGTACAATAACTTTATATTCTGCAAGGATATACTTTTGATAATAAATGCATGAGATGTGTGTATAAGGTAAAAAAGTAAAGTTGTCCCTGTGCTTAACTAATTGAGCACTGTGCCATGAAGGCGTATGGGGGAATGAATGTATGGATCCACATTTTCTTAACCTCGGCACTAGTTGGAGGTGTGTGGTCAGGTTCACGCCTCGGCTGTTTTATCCCCAGGGTAAGAGGTCATTGTACCCATTCGATAGGATCCTGGGTGGTCTCCAGAACTGGTCTAAATGACATGGAGAAGAGAAAATTGGTGCCCCTATTGGGGCTTGAACTCTGACCTCTTGGTCATCCAACCCATAGCCAGTCACTAAACCGACTGATCTAACCTGGTGACTGTTTGTTATAGATATACATTTTTAAATTTTTAATTGCTTGTCAAGAAATGTTTAATGTAAGAGTCTGTTTACCACTTTATAATTACCAAAAGAGTGTTTTTCTTCATATCAAATAGAGTTATAGTGGTATGTCATTAAAAGTTATGTTAGATTAACGAAAAAACTTCTGTTAAAAAACTTTTATGAAATATTTTTTTATTCCTTCTTTTCCAGAATGTAGCAATTTATTCCTTTATTTCAGAAGTACTATAATGATTAGTACAATAAAATTGAATTACTTTTGTGTGGTTATGTAATCAGCTAGGCAAAACCAGTAAAGTGAATATCAGTTCCAGTATGGTTAGCAGAATTCTTTGAACATATGAACTGTACTCAATTTTCATGCCATATACTGTAATATTATCTTTTGATTTCATGCTTCAGTGTTTTATGGAATGGCGTTACATATACAAAGCAAAAGACCAGAGCAACAACATTTTAATGTACACTGACAATACCTGATAGAATTGAAATTATGAAGACATTCAGTGTACCTTGGTATTCTTCAGCCAGTAAAGTAACAGGTTGTGAACCAAATAACAAATATTTGATTCCAAGGAGGATTGAGATTTCTCTTTGCCATCTTGTGGAGGCTAGATCTGTGTCCTACCAAACTGCCTGTTCATTGGGCACTGTAGGTACTGCTCCCTGGGGATAAAACAGCTTACCTTCAAGCTTACCATTCACCCTCATACAGAGATAAAATTGGGTATGCATGGAACTCCACCAGCATTTCTCCTATATGTATTCCTGGTGTGGTTCTTCACAAGGACAACTTGACATATGGAATTTGTTTGTGTTGACATGATTCAAAAAGGCAAAATAAAAGAAACCAGATGTAATCTTAATCAATTATCATAAGCGCATAATGTGGTGACATCTAATGTCAGTACTGGTGTTAAATTTTAAGTTTACTCTTTAGTTTAGAGTGACAGATAATGCTATGAGTGTGAAACTGGGAAAAGGAAGATGGGCATTAATAGTCAGCTTTATCCTCAAGGAAAGAGGTTGCTGTTAACCATAGAATAGAAGCCTGGGTGGACCCCAAACCTAGTCTGGATGTCATGGAAAAGAGAAAAATCTCTGTTCCCATCCTATCTGAAATTTTATCTTGAGTGTGTCCATACGTAATCATTTTACTGACAGTGATTTTGTTATTCCTGTTGCATTATAAGAATCATCACAATAATCAGTGATGTAGAGTCTTTTTTTTGACTGTTTTTGACTGTTTACCACTGTGTGCAAACTTCAGATTTTCTAGAGATGCTCATTTGCAGTGAATGCATCTTGTTGTGTATCATATATTATCTCTTACTGAAAACCATCACAACACAACAGTCAATAATACGTGTAAGTAGCTCTAGGAGATACTTTTGCTACATGTAATCCATCTCTCCATCAAATTGGACATTTGCACAACGGAGTCGCCCATCAAATAGTATCAGATATTAAATAATAACATACAACATAACAATGGGCCTCCGAACACCACATCAACCATTATGTATATAATATGTCCGTATAAACGATTACACCTGCCAACTTCCAAATACCATCATATATACAATTTTTAACTGAACTTTTGAGTATGTAACTGGCTATTTAAGATTTCAGTTTTTATTATAATTTATATTTTATATTCACTCATATCATTTTATACTATTCTATATACTTGGAAGCTTAGCACTGTATCCTATATTTGACATGCAATTCAATAATGAAAAGTTTAATGTTTTTGCCTGATGATGGCCTTTTGAAGGCCGAAACATGTAGCAAAAGTATCTCCTAGAGCTACTTACATGTATTATTTATTGCTGTGTTGTGACAGTTTTCAGAAGAAATAAGAAATGCTGATTTTGATTGCTTCTCTGCAAGTAAAATGTGGACACTGGCATCTGTGAGTTATGTCTTAATAATTTCTCTACACTTGATTTGTACATAATAGAGTAAGATATTAGTAAGATACAAACACATTTTTGAGTACATCTGATGTTGTCAAATTGATTAACATATTGGATTTAAATTTTGATGTGAATTAATGTTGCTTTATGCTGGATGGAATGAATGTTTCCTTGTAAGCCAGCAGAAGAGGTTTATTTGATAATTTTTGATGCTTGTCTGCAGAACCAGAATTTCAAACCAAGAATTTATATTTACTTGTGTTTCTGTAGCTGTCTTGTATGGCTTTTTGTAGGCATGTGGAAGTCTCAATTCTTTTAGGTTAAATCAGGAAAAGATCTCCATTTGAATGTTAATTTTTCAGTTACAAACTTTGAGAATTTTGAGGTAATTGCCTTTGTTTTGCACAGTAACAACCTCAGAATTGTAATAGTTGGCATCACCACCATAAATTGGCTTCTCAAAATATCTGTGTCTCACCTGCTCTTTCTGCCCAAGGTGAAAAAGTAATGGTCCTAGAATAGACTTTTGTAATTTATGAAAATTTTTAATTGGATTGGTGTCTTATATCACAAAGGATAGATAGTGCACTTTAATACATTGCAAAAGAGTGGTCAGTGTTATATATTATGTTGGCAGCAAAATAATTGTTCTGGTACAGGTAGGAACAAATCCATAAAATGTTTCTGAATTATTATCTTGAATTTAGAAGGTCATTCTTGCATATTCCTATATATATTAGCTCTTCAAGATAGCAGTGCAAAGTGTAAAGGTATCTTCTTGTATTTCAGGACAACTGTCATATCAACTTTACATTAGTTGGGCATCAGTCAAAACTGGGCACAGGTGTGAGACTTAGTAAGGGTTGTGTTCTATGCCCTGGTGTGGTTCTACCTCTTGACACCCATCTAGAAGGAAGCATTCTTGTTGCTAGTTCTGAGCAGAATAAGGAGAGTCTAGAACAGGATGAAGGTAAACTGTATAGTTCACAGACTACAAGTTTTGTTGTTTCATAGCAAAGAAGAGCAGAAAGTTACATGAGATTAGATATGAGAAATACATAAGGTTTGATTCGCAATGAGGTCATTGGATTTTTCCATTGATGTAATCCTTACAGCTGCACTATGGCTGTGGGGTGAACTCAGCCTCTAACAGAAATGAGTACCAGGAATCTTCCTGGGGGTAAAGGACAGCCAGTGCATAAGGCCTACAACCTCACCACCATCTGTGAGCTGATTGTCTAGATGTGGGAGCTTTGACCTCTCACACCCTATGGGCCTCCACAGTCTGTTACAGGGATAGCTTAACCTTTTTTTTATACACAGATGCTGCAGGTAGTAATGAATTCAGTGAATGTTGGGGTTCAATTGACTAAAGAAATTACACAACCAGTATTTATTAAAGACAAATTGAAGTGGCTGATGAAGTAAATATGATGTATACGTCCTACCTGACTCACTTGGAGACTTGTTGTCCTACCCACTTGAATCTGCAATATGAGATGAGAGCTTTACACTTGATGAAAACTGATCTTTGTTTCCACGTCCAGCTGCCTTGTTTACACACATTGGGGGCCAATGTGTCCCATTCGTTTGATCACACTACTTTGTTTTGTTTAAAGGAGGGATGTCTGTTGTTAGTAATGATTACAGTGTTCTCACTTGGCTTTGAAAGAATATTTGAAATGCCTTCATGCTGCCTTATTTATTATAATATGTTGTGTGACTGTTGTTTGTAAAACATGAGTATTTTATAGTAACAGAAGGTATGCCGACTTATGCATAACACTCATTGACTTATAGATCCATCTCTGTGTGTTTGAACTGAGAAAGTTTGTGTGAAAATGGCACTCTAGAAGTATATTCAAAAGATACCTATTTGAAATCTTGGCCAAGCAACTGGCTATCCTGACTGAGATTTTATGGATCTTCCTCAGACTCTCTGTGTTAGTGCTGCATTAATACTTCGAAATATTTCTGGCTCTTAAATTATATACTGAAAGAGCATTATTAAATAATCACTATACCATCAAGTTTAAATTTTTCACTAACCTTCAATTTTCAGAGTACTGGTTACTGGAATGTTCGTTTCATCTTTGGTAGTCTAGTTTAATAACAATTAAGAAATGTAAGAATTTCCTTTCCTCCCATTACAGCTTATAAACTAGAGAAATTGGCAGACAAGGCCTACTGTCTGCATGTAGACCAAGCAGAATATGACTGTGAAGCTGAGGGACGAGCCCAGCATTTATGTGGGCTTTGGTTAGGGACGAGTGGGCTAGACAGCAAGAGTGACAGTGAAGAAGATCTATCAGCCAGTAGTGAGATGTCTGACCATGCTTCGCCTGTTCCTGACGATATACACTGTAAGTAATACACTTGATATTCCAGTTTTATGTTTCAATACATTGTTGGAGCATAAATTTACTGCCACAGCATGAGAAACAAAGAACACATTGCAGTTGGAATATTTGTATTTCATAAAATTTGGAACATAATACATATTAAAGACATCACAGAAAAATGTGATAGTGTAGGAAAATGAATATTATCAGTTATGTCTAATGGCAGTAGTAACAGATACACTTAATAAGTATGGGCTAAGCACAGTATTTGATGTCATTGTAAGCTTAATATATGGCCGCGTCATAGCTCAAGCGGTTAGCCACTGGCTTCCTATCGCGGCAGACTGGGTTCGATCCTGGGTCTGGTCAAGTGGGATTTGTGGTGGACAAAGTGGCGCTGGGGTAGGTTTTCTCCGAGTACTTTGGTTTCCCCTGCCAATCTTCATTCCACCAATTGCTCCACAATCACCCTCACCTATCATCTGGGGCTGGTACAATATGCCAGAAGTGGCCACAGTACAAGGGAATTAGTCCCACCCCACTAGCAATAAAAAGAAAGCTTAATATATTTGTATCAGTTGCTATTCCAATCTGTTGTTTATGATTTTGACTTTAAAGACATGCAAGAGGGGTGAAAGTATTCCTGGACTGGCAGGTGACTGCTGTGTTTAGCATGGAGTTTTTCTGCAAGAGGATGGTAGACTACAATCTGATGAATCATTTTGATTAATTAAAAAACTTTTATAAGTGACAATTTAAAAGACAGCATGTTTTATCAAGTTCTATTTCATACTAATAAAAACTGGTATGGAAACCTGTAACATGTTAACATTTCCTTTTGGGAAGGGCAAAATAACAAGTAGTCTTTGAAGTTTAGAAGTGCGGTGACTTTTGTTAAAGATGCCGGATATGTAGGACCCTATATCTTGGCACTGACTGAATTGTACACTAGGAGTTCATCCTACAGGGACATGCTGTAAATTAACGTTCATATACAATGATTCTGCAATATGTATGGGGGTATGTGTGAAGAAATATCTTGAGAAGTTTGTCACTGGAGACTCACTTTGCACCTGGCCAGAAACCTTACAAATGTTGTCCCTAGTCCTCTGTATTTCTCAAATCTAGTCCCATGTAACTTTCTTCTGTATTTCAAGTTAAACTCAAGAAAAAGATTCATTGTCATGCTGGTCAAAGAGAAATTGTGGACTCCACATGTGAAATGAAAACGCGGGGCTTCTGCAGGTACTTAAATTACTTGCAGAATTTTTAAACCTCACTGTACCAGGTTGCAAAGTAATTACTTTGAAGGTTCCAACTGGCAATATCTGGTAAATATGTTGCATATAAAAACAAAATTTCAGTTCTGAAGTTTTTGATGCAGTGTTCTTCAGTGAAGTAATGGATTCACTCACACGAGGTTATGACGACAAGCTTCACCCTGACAACCTGATCCTGGAGATCAACTCTTCACGGTATGCATACAATGTCAGTGTACGAGAGGTAAACTACTTTGTGGTGAAAGCACTGCTCAGCCTTCCAATCCAGGCTCAGTCTGCTGACTCAGGACTCAAATATGTAATGGAATTCAGCAAAATGCTTAGAGACTTATTCCCCATTCTGCAAAACTATGTACGCAACTCAGATGCCCAGGATGACTGCCTGCAAGCCCTAGAGGTATGTTATAGGAATTTTGTATTAAACAGGTATGTGTATTACTAAAAGGGATGAAGAAAAATATATCAGGAGCAGGTACAAGGAATATTAACATTCTTGATTTATGGAATATAAAACACTTGATGTTAACAAAGTGCAAATATTTGTCATTGAGTGCATTTATAAACTTAGATTATGGTCTTTTAGGTTATGACCCTGAACATGGAGGTAGCAGGTTTCTTGAAAACATGGATAATGATGTATCAGACTACATGGTGCCATAAACCAGAGACCTCAATTGAAATCTACACTTCCATAAATACCTCAGAATCTCAATTATAAACCTCACTTAAACATATGATATATTTCATATTTTATAGAATAGGCTTTTGTTTTTCTCTTTGTTTTTAAAACATTATTGCAGCAAATCTCAACCAAGACTTTGCTATGCCTGTGTACATCATAAATATAGGAATCATTTTTTCAAATTTTTTTTCAAATTCTGTTTTAGGAATTTTGAGTGGATACATGTACACATGGAAGGCTGCTGTTTTCAGTAGTATAGGTGAAAACATACTGAATGTGTTTCTAGCTTACTTCTCTTTCTTAAGGGAAAGAAATTGGCATATGGCATTGCCATGCTGTGTATATCTATATGTATGCATGCCTGTCTTCCATCCAATTTTTGAACCAGTTGATCAATTTGGGCAAAGTTTAGTACAGACTTCGTACCATCAGAGACCACCCTAACATTGCACTTTATAGTTTCCTGTAATTGGTAATTTGACACAG